ATGAATCGAGTATTATACCGCGTTGACTCCATTGTCCCAATCGAAAATCCAGACTCGTCCATGTTATATATGTCTTTTTGGACGATTCCGTGTTCTTGAACCACTTTCTGATACGCGTCAAATCACGCATCAAGCACTGGTTTTGTTGCCCCGTCCATTCGTATGGACTCAATTCGACGTCCAATAGCAACTTTGAGATGTGGGTGTCATATAATGAATCGGGGAACCCAGTCCTCACCAAGCGTATCATGTGGTTGGAGTTCAAGCACGTTGGGTGTCACATTGTCCAAATTGTATGTTCGTTTTGTACGCAGTTCCTCTGCTATTTCTTTTAATAAGCGATGCCTGGGAGAGTACCCACTGATTGTTAAGTTTTTGATCCACTTGAGAAGTACGTTTTCCTGAGCATATGAGAGTTTCTGCTGTTGTTGGCGGGCTTGACGGCAAGATAACCCCCCATTGACACGTCGCATCAATGTGCTCCGCGTCAACCCCAAGTCCTGGGCAGCCTTATACAAGCTTTTATATTCACCATTTTGAACACCAGTTATCGCCTGAGTAATACGAGACTCTAAATCCGCCGTCGCTATGCTTTTCCTATGCACCATTGTTGAGTTATTCAAGTTACAAGTTGGTAATCCTCGGTTATCAGTTGCGTTATGACACCCGTTGCGTTACGCCACGACTTACATTATAGAAGTAGTGTCATACTGACATTCGTTGCACTCAGTTTGCTATCAAACTCAAGAGCAAACTTTGAAATCTCCTCCTCAAACCTACAAGTCACTATACATATTTTGGCTTATCACACCAACAACAAGAGCAATACTACTCAACGATTGCTACAACCATCTATGATTCATTACACATCATCGCTCCTTAGTTACTGGGCCGATATTACCACATAGCATATCTCTACAACCCTCTATGATTCATTACATGACATCACTCATACTACCACATGACATATCTCTACCAACTAGAGGCCTAGGAGCATGAACGATAGCTCTAAAAGCTCCTACGAACCTCTATAATTCATTACATGTCATCGCTCTTTAGTTACCCACAAGATTGGTTAAGTTATGACATAATTTGTCTATGACATAATTTGTCTATGACATAATTTGTCTATGACATAATTTGTCTATAGGGGTACTCTGACCTTGGACCTCCTTTTACTTCCTATAGGCTACAAACCTAAGAGATGGTTCTATGGGATTCTCTTACGTCGACTACAGTTACCAAGCCTGGTAAGTCATGGAAAGTCTTGGAAAATGAGAGAACTACATTCCTTTAGCATAAATAGGATTGCCCTTTCCTTAAGAAAGGGCAAGCAGACAATACAGTAAATCGACTATCACATACTTCCACGTCTTTTCCAAGCTTCCAAGCATTGATCTTGTTACTCCTTGTTTCTGAAAAGTCAGTGAGGTGTTAACCTCTGACTTACCCCTGAGTTCCCAGACTCAACATTTGTTGCAACTTGTCTGAACCACTTCACTACATCACACACCTGATTGCTGCGTTGTGAAATAGTCTAAGCTATGACCCTTTGGCTCTTTTTCCTAAGACAGTGTGTTGTCTTAGTAAATTCATCCCTTCCTTGGGTGGCTAGATCCTCACATCTGGTGCACCCACCATTACAAGTAGGAAGTGGGGTTAGAACCTAACGTAGCCAATCCTGAATTTCGACAAATGATAGCCAATCAATTGGTCTTGGCCTTTTATAGTCTATTACTAGGTTTTCACGATAGAGCCATATGTAGGTTGGCTAGCTCAAAGTCGAACTTGGTAGCCAATTATAGATAGCTTACCACTAGTTACAACCCATCTCTGGCCCTCAAGAGCTTCGAAATAGGTCGTAGGACTCCTTGCCCGTCATCGATATTTATAGTAATTATATATATCAATCACTAGGGACTGAAATTGTAACTTGTAGAGCGTCTAACCACTCAAAACCCAATAACAACGATGAAACCCACCAGCTACAGTTGCGGATGTCAATTCGTAGCTTCATACTAGTATCCCTCCTTTCATTTTAGGTCACCCGAGTTGCTATTCAGGCCACTCCCAAACTCTGATCCCACACGTCCTCTGATGGACCCAGGAACAGCCGCATTACACTATACGATATCACGTCTTAGGGTCGTACCATCCCCTCCAAAATTTACTTTGTACGGGTGCTATTTTAAGTTTCGGGAACTAATTTTAAGCATATCTAGCATCTCGATAAAGCTCTCGATCCCAACCCCACTAACACTTTGCAACTTATGAATAACATTTCATAGTCATCGGAAGCTCGAATGCTCCTCGTACATCACTTGCACTATGAATTCCGAAATGAGAGGGCTTGATATCGATGCCATCAGCAAGACTTTTGAGGTTGAGCCCTTGAACTATGAGGTCGGCTGGAAGGACTTGCGAGAGTTGGCATTTATGAAGTCTTGCAACTGTTCGACTTGTGTGCGACCAAAGATTACTTATATGCAGATGAACGAGACCTACCAATCCCTGCATACCTCGGGGATAATATTGACAGGGTGCGCTCGGTAACCAACAACGGAGCAGGTGGAAATAATAACGCATTTTCTCGGACAATCATCGACCAATTACTGATAACTAGCATATATGAAGAGAGTAATAAGCAAATGACCGAGGTACGAGATCAAGATCCAGATTTGTCATCACACCACTTGCACTCATCAGTATCTCAGGCTAGGATCCCAGAAGACCGAGTAAATCTAGAGTTACGCCGCGAAACACCGCTATCGATGATTGTGGCGCATGAAGGGGAAATAAAACTGCTATCAGGATTTGCTAATTACTGTCTGTTTTACGGTGGCTCAGACTTAACACTAGCCACAAACTTAGTAATCGTTGGTTCTCAAACCACCGCCTGGAGGCGGTTGGCGAAAGCGAACTGGGACGCGAAAGCGATTGTGGGACACTTCGGGAGCGGACTCACGACGCGACACGACCGACCATGAACATGACCGACAACGAGCACAACTACAACCACAACTATGCCGGTAGTTGAAGTAAATAAAAATGAAGCTCTTTTAAATGCCATTGAATTTTTAAATGAAAACCCAACAGAGAAGAGTGCTACAGTAGCACGGATGTACAGAGTAAACCCAAGTACGCTCCGGACTATACGACTACGACAACGACGCGCATCACCACAACGCACCGCTGTGCCACGCGGAGGCCAGAACAGAGTACTGTCTGATGTACAAGTTACAGCTATACAAAGATACATCCAACGCTCGTACGAAAATGGGTACGGTGCAACTAAGCCTATGGTGTTCAGTGCCATCTGCCAACTACGTGCAGCAGAAACTCCAACACGTGCACCACCATCACAACGGTGGTTCCAGACATGGATTAAGACACAACAACACAACTTCCATACAATAAAAACCCGGCCAATTGAAGCAGCACGGGTTGCATCTCATGAAGTATCAGCTATTAAAGAATGGTTTTATGAATTTAAAGATGTGTGTAATCAACTAGATATTACTGCAGGTGATATCTACAACTTTGATGAAGTTGGATTCCGTGTAGGAATGAGCACCGGTGAACATGTGTTGGTACCATCTGCAGTAAAGGAGGTAAGTTGTTTCTACTTATCTTACTTTATATTATTCTAATATTTATAGCTTTATATACAAGCTCCAGAGAACAGACAAAGTCTTACAGTTATAGAGACAATTTCAGCTGCTGGCATTGCACTTCCACCGTTCCTTATTATACAAGGAAAATTACACATGGAAAGTTGGTACCATGACAATCTACACGGTGATGAGAAAGTTGCAGTATCCGATTCCGGATATACAAACTCTGAGCTTGCAATGGAATATCTACAGCATTTTATTCAACATACACCGTCTATAAGAACGAAATTGTTAATAATGGACTCTCATGTCTCACATGAAGTTCCAGAGTTTATAATACTTGCACATCAACACAATATACACTTACATGTGTTTCCGTCTCATCTTACGCATATTCTACAACCGCTAGATGTTACTGTGTTTGCACAATATAAACATTGGCACCGACGTGCAATTCAACAAGCAATCCGGAATTTTGATACAGATTATAATGTTATATCTTTCTTTAGAGACTTGTCTACTATCCGTAAGCAGACATTTACAAAGGGTAACTGTATCAAGTCTTTTAGAGATGCAGGTATTTGGCCACCTAACTATGAAAAGATTCAAGAGAAGGTTGCTATATATGCAAAACCAGAAGTTTTAGAAACACCACAACGCGCATTTCAAGCAAGTTATGATCTTTCAACATGGAGTCAAACATTTGATAAGATCCTTAGTTCACCGTCACGGCAAAAGTGGGCATCTTCTTATACTGAAATCCAAACTCAGTTAACAGAGGCTGAGCTGTTCCAGTCAGAGCTTGTACAAATTACTACTATTATGACTGAGCAACGACAGCGGAAGGTTAGAAGTCGGAAATCTATTCAAAAAGGCGGTGCTATTACAGTTGAACATGCACGGCAAAGGATTTATGAGAAGAAGGTAAAGGAGCAACTTTTAGAAGAAGCACGGGAGAAAAGAGAGAGAACACGCATGGTGAACGTTGAGCGTAAGATGCAGCTCCGTGCTGGCATCGATGCACGGAAGGCAGAACGTACACGGAAAAAGGACCTACATGAATTTCAAAAAAGTAACCCAGACACGGAGCCACCAATTGGCTTACGTACAGAAATCATTGACCCGGACGTTACACAGAAGAAACGTGAGGAGGAGGAGGAGGCGGACCGACTGTTAGCCATCGAGGAGAGTGGGTACGTGAACTTTGCAGGCTTGGACTACGACATGATTCACGATGCAAGTGACGGTGGCTGTGATGATCAATCACTGCCTGACAATATTGATCCAAATCTTTTTTAATTATTTAATTCTATAACTTATATATATTTACAGCATTGTTACGTTGTCAGTCGTGTTCATGGTCGGTCGTGTCGCGTCGCGAGTCCGCTCCCGAAGTGTCCCACAATCGCTTTCGCGTCCCAGTTCGCTTTCGCCAACCGCCTCCAGGCGGTGGTTTGAGAACCAACGATTAATCGTCGAAGCCAAACGGCAGCTTGGTACAGATTCAACCCTGCCACATCTCGCGGCTTACATGGGCATCGTTCACACAACGAGTAAAAAAGGCTCTAGAGAGAATTGTGTTGTATATGGCATATCGTCTGATGGGAATTCTTTCCGGTTCTGTTGAATCAATAATGATGGCATGTTTTCGAAGACTAGGCTCCTCGAGTGGGAAATTGAGGCAGATAGGAGGAGGATATACTCGATACTGCGGTCTATTATAAGGGAGGCAGCTATACTATCGCCAAGTACGATGCCGATTAGGGTTCCCATGCAGAGAAAATAGTCCTTGCAGCATTCGACAGAACAACCCACCGCAAGATCAGGTCTACTCTCGGGAGACTGAAGGTTTACGACTTAGAGGAGGTAGAGGAGGGGGTGTACGAGATTATGGACGAAGAATGAGAGTGTATAACCAAAATTATTCATGGTGGGATCCATTATCGGACGTCGCATAACGACGAGACAAGTATCGAATTAAGGTTAAACTCGAGTCATTCGCCAGAGAGAAATGAGAAAATGTGTTCACCATATGCATTTATCATTGAATCTAAAGAGAAGCATCGCAAATGATGAAAACATGCCAACGGTTCGTCCGATTCGTTATATAATAACGTACCTACGTTACCCCTCTCAACCCCCAATCCACCCACCTCCTCACCACCTCATCCACGCTTCTCACGCCTTCCCTCGTAGCTTCAACCTCAAACCACTCGCGGTGCTCCCGCCCACAGCTCTCACAGCCCGCACTTCCCCGCACCCGCATCCCACTCAGCTCCAAATGAATCAGCCTCTCAAGTCGATGCGCATACGGCACCTTCCTCGGCGCCCCCACCTCAAGCCCAGGCGAGGAGGGTTGGTAGGGATAGTACCGCACGAGGGAAAGGTTGTACCCGCACTGCCTTGACCACTCGTTCAGGCGGCGCTGGACATTCGACGCCCGGCCAATCTTCAGCAGGATCGTCTTGCGTGCCTCCCTATCCGTACTGGATGAGAAAGCCTGGAGCGCCTCGCTTGTTCGCCGCTTGCCTGGTTGAAGGCGGGGCGAGGAGTCGAGGAGGGACGGCGCAGCTTCCGAGGGCGGGGTTTGCGGGTGTGATGTGGGCGTGAGCCAGAAGATATAGATGTAGCCTTCATCATCTACGTGGGAGGGCGGTTTGGAGAGCTCGGCCAAGAGGAGAGAGGTGATCTGGGGTGAGGTAGTTTTAGGTATCAGGGAAAAGAGTTGTTGGGTATGAGATGATGGGCCGCGGGCGGGCTGCGGTCTTTGAGGGTCGATGTTGATGGGCTTCTCCCAGCTCCCAGTTGATGGACGAGGGGGCCGGCTCTGTTTGGGTGGCTGTGAGAGCTGTGGTGATTGGATCATTGGCTGGAAATTCGGTGGTCGACTTCGCGAATTGTGAGATGTGCGATTTCGAATCTGTGCAGGTCTTGCAACAACGGGATCCTCGTCGGCAACTCCGACGCAACAGAGAAGGGTGATATTGTGTTGTTTTCGAGGGTTTCTAGGTGCCGTGTTCATATGTTGCTGCTTCTCGGAGTAATGTGTGCCGCTTGCGTACAATATCGGTCGAGGTTGCGAAGACTTCCTCCGCTGCTTTGCAGCAGTTTTCTCCGGCTTTATTTCAAGTAGTCCTAGCCTATCTACGAGTGTATCGACGCTCGTTCGTTCCCGTATGGTCGAGTTCTTTGCGCCATTGGGTAGGAGCCCTTGTGCAGATGTCGCTTGATCCTTATGCTGCCAGCAGAAGCCATCTGAAGGAAGGATGTCCCCAATAGGACTTTGCAAAGATAGTCTCACAGTTGCTGGCGGACTTGAAGTCGCGATGGCACGGCGGCATAACCGGCCGCTGGAAGTCAGTCCGCGACAAGTAGTAGTGGGGTCTCTCGAGTCTGAGCGTGGTATAAGTGATTCTGGGGTATGGGGAATAAATGGCATTTCTGCTGGAGTGGTTAGTGCTAGAGAATAGTCATGAAGAAAAAAGGAAATGAGATATAGTAGCAGAACTCTACTATGAAAACTTGGTAAAGTGAATCATGACAGCCAGCCAACGTGGCCCGTAGTTCTCGGCCATCGTGGTGTCTGTTAATCGTAGCCAGTGAATTCAGCCCGAAGTCGTGGATTTGGAGGAGGTTGGGGAATCCACTTGTGTAGCTATGTGGCTGTGTGGCTGGAGATGTAGCTCAACCTCAACCACAACTTACCAAGACAAGGGGCGACAATGTTCCACAATTTACTTTTAATGGTTTTATTATTTTATTACTTTATGCATAACGTACATGTATAGCGAAAGCGCCAAACAAGCGAAAGCGCCAAAATGATGCGGTGACCAAACCCCCCAACTAAATGTTAAATTCCTCAACAACAAAACATGCCCCATAAAAACGATGAAAGCCAATTAGTGCTAGCTATCCAGGCTATGCAAAGCGACCCAAAGTTACGCCTTCGAGTTGCTGCTAGGATCTATTCTGTGGACCACCGCAAGCTAGGTCGTCGTCTAGAAGGTGTACCTTCACGACGCGATATCCAAGCCAACTCACGGAAATTAACTAACCTAGAGGAGTCCGTCCTTGTTCAGTATATACTCGACCTAGCTGCCAAAGGGTTTCCTCCTCGGCTGTCTGTTGTTGAAGATATGGCAAGTCGACTACTTGCAACACGCGACGCGTCACGCGTTGGGTCGCGTTGGGCTTCAAACTTTGTTAAGCGGCGTGTAGAGCTCCAGACACGCTAGCGCAAATACGACTACCAGAGGGCTAAGTGCGAAGATCCAGAAGTTATTAATGGCTGGTTTGAGCTTGTGCGTAACACAATTGCGAAATATGGTATCGATGAAGCAGATATCTACAACTTTGATGAGACTGGGTTTATGATGGGCGTTATCTCAACTGCTATGGTTGTAACAAGCTCAGACGGGCGGGCAAAAGCAAAGAAGGTACAGCCTGGTAATCGGGAATGGGTTACAGTAATCCAAGGCGTTAGTTCTCAAGGTTGGGCAGTACCACCATTTATCATTGTTGCAGGCAAAAACCACCTTACATCTTGGTATGAGAATAGTGGATTTTCAAGCGATTGGGTGATTTCTGTTACTGAAAATGGCTGGACTACAAACGAGAGAGGCATGGATTGGATTCAGCACTTTGAGAAGCATACAAAGGCCCGGAGTGTTGGTGGTTATCGCTTGTTAGTCCTTGATGGTCATGAGAGCCACCACTCAGATGAGTTTGAGGAGTACTGCAAGGAACACAACATTATTACGCTTTGTATGCCTGCTCACTCTTCTCATCTACTCCAGCCACTTGATGTTGGCTGTTTCGGCCCGTTAAAGCAGGCCTATGGTCGGCAAATTGAAGATATGATGCAGGCTCATATTTCTCATATTACAAAGGATGACTTCTTTCCTGCCTTCCACACTGCATTTAACACTACAATGACGGAAAGTAACATTCGAGGCGGGTTCCGAGGGGCAGGGCTTCTTCCATTTGACCCTGAGAGAGTGATATCTACACTTGATCTTAAGTTAAGGACACCAACGCCTCCAAGCTCCCGCCCAGGTACTGCTCAACCTTGGGTTTCTCAGACACCAAACAACCCAATTGAAGCTATGTCACAGTCTACATTTATTAAAACTCGGATTTCACGCCATCAAAATAGCTCTCCAACCTCAATCTATGCAGCTGTTGACCAGTTTACAAAGGGTGCATCGCAAATAATGCATCAATTAGCACTGCTAAAGGGAGAGAACCAAAACCTACGACAGGCAAATGAAGTACTAAGCAAGCGCCGGAGAGCTAGGAAAACACGACTACAGCAAGGAGGATCACTTAGTCAACAAGGGGCGCAAGAGCTACAGGATGAGAGGGATGTTGTGCAGCAGGTAGAGCAGGAAATAAGGGCAAGCCGTGGTCGGAAGCCAAGGGAAGAAACCCGTGCCCGTCGCTGTGGCAAGTGTGGTGAGACTGGGCACAATGCGCGCACGTGTCAGATTGTAATAGACACCTCTGAGGAAGAGGACTCCGAGTAGTTTCAATTGATTTCTAATGTTGTGGTAGATTTATCGCAATGTTTGTCGTGAGGGTAGATAATTTTGGCACTTTCGCTTGTTTGGCGCTTTCGCTATACATGTACGTTATGTGATTGTGCAGCTGTAATATTTTGTAATGGCACCTATAGGTCCACAGGACACTTCATTATACTCAAGCTCATGAGTTTGATAATTACGTTGACATCCCTCTCTATCCGGCCTTTACGCCCAGAACCATTTCTCCCACCCACGGCGCCACCTTTTCTGCTATTTCTTTCGAATGATCTGCGCACGTCAGCAACGCTCCCCTAATCTCATCCCCGTCCATAGCCTCCCAAGACAGCCAAAGAAATGAATAAAACTTACTGAGGCAAAACGCATGCGGTATTCCCGCCTCGTCAATCTCAAACCTGACACCCCCCTTTCCTCCCCTTTTAGCCATAAGCGCATCCCTCGTCTCCTCGTCAACAAAATGGTCATTCCTCCCAAAGTACAACATCAACCGCGTCGGCTTCCCCTCCCCCTCCTCCACATCCGTCCCCCAAACCTCCTCTCCCCACACATCCTCCGCAATCCCCAGCATCTCCTCCCTCGCCAACTGCAGCGCCCTCCTCACCCCCTCCTTACTCCTCAAAAACTCACTCGTCACCTTCGCCGCCTCACTCCCCTGCCCCGTAATCGCGCCAACCACGCTTTCCAACCACGGCCTCGGCAGCGGATACAGCCCCCCGCGCGCTAACAGCCCCGTTACCTGTGGCACAAACGGGACATAGCGCAGGAGCGGGGCGAGGACAGCGCCGGAGGGGGACTGCGCGATGTCCGTTATCGTGGGGAAGAGGATGATTGCGCGTGTCGTTGCGCGGGTGGTGGCGGGGAGCTGGGAGAGCACGGAGAGCGCGAGGTAGGCGCCGACGGAGTGGCCGAGGAGGGTTAGACTGTCGTGAGGCTCGCCGGCGCAGGGACCGGAGGGGATGCGTAGACCGAGGATGGTGGTGAGGAGGGCGGAGGTGGTCTCGGAGAGGGAGAGGAAGGAGGTTTGGGGGGTGGAGGGGAGTTGGGTTGGGGTTGCGGATCTGTGGGGGGTGGGGCGAAGCCGGGGAGGGTGAGGCAGCGGATGTGGATTGCGTCTTCTCCTGATGGGGAGGCGGGGAGACCGGTGCGTAGGGCAGAGAGGAAGGGGGCGTAGTATCCTGGGTAACCGGGGTTGCCGGGGAGGAAGACGAGTAGGTGGTGTTTTGTTTGTGCGGAGGTGGAGGGAGAGAGCGGGGGGAGGTAGATGGGGTCTGCGGGAGAGGCGCACATGGTGGGGTAGGCTCTATTTGAGGTGTCTTTGGTGGTGGGGATTGGACGTGGAGGGGGTTGAGGCTTTTGTATAAGAAGGGGTCCCTGGAAAAGGGGTGCTGACTAATCAATCACATGCATGCGTAATTTGAACCCCTGAAGACAACAGTGTTGAGCTGGCCATGAAAAGGCTGTACAGTGTCTGTTTTATGAGGGGGTTCGGCCAAGTAAAATAGAGGAAAGACTACACCGTGCAATGGGATTTGTGAGGTGTGCACGTTGCAATGTTGTCTCCAAAGATGTTGTGATGAAGCCTCCGTTCCCCAGCATATTATCGACTATCACATTAACCCACCATCCAAACTCCAACCGTCCCTTTCCACCCCACCCTACTCCCCCTTCTCCCCATTTTTCACCTCCACCTCCACCCCCTCCCCCTCCCCCTCCCCCTCGCCCTTCATCACCACTCCCCTCCTCCCCCCCGACATCCCAACCTCCCCCCTCCCCCCTCCACTAACCGGCAACACCCTCCACGCCCACCGCGCAACCCCATACGTCGCCACCGCCCACACCCAAACCCCAACCCCCAGCGCGCCCGTCACGCACAGCACAGGCAGCAACACCAGTAGCGCCAGCCCCGTCCAGAAGAGTGTGAATGCTAACGCGGCCAGCCCGGCGAGCAGCGCGACACCGAGGATGAAAGAGGCGAAGAGTAGGAGCAGCGGGAGGGAGAGGAGGAGGTGTGCGAGGATGAAGGACTGGAGGGGCGTGTTAGCTGGCTGTATTATAACGCGGGTGAGATGGAGGGTGGAAAGGGGGCGTGGGAGAGGGACGTACAGCGAGGAGAGGCTGGTCGTGAGCGAAAGCGCGGACGTTGGTGTATACCGCGCGCCTGGCGCCGGGGCTGATAACACGGTCGAGGAGGGTTCGCGCGCGCTCCCGCACGCTGGGCCTGCCCTGGTATGAGGCTGGCGACGGGGTCGTCATTGCAAGCTGTGTGACTGTGTCGTGCGTATGGCGGTGTCGACACGGTTCATGGAGAGTAGGGTACTGGAGACGCGAGATGTTCTGGCCCACTGGACAAAGACGGCAGGATTGATGTTCGAGGGTGGATTGAAGCTGTGGTCGTGGAGCTCTCAGTCCTGTCTGTGGAGTTGGCGATGACGTTACGGACAAGGGTAGGTCTGAGTAGTCATGTGAGATCAGATAACCAACAGTAAAGTCGTATCACGTGACAATTATCACATGACTGATACATATGTTGGCTCCACACTCCGATACGGGGGAGTTACCTGTGTATAACTATTTGATCAACGAGGAAATATCTACTTGGTAGAATTTGAGGATGGGGACCGGACGGACGACCATGTCAGTAAATACCATGTACTATACTAGACCATCCACCATCTGTTCTTCTTCCCACAAATTACATAACGCCAGAGCGAACAACAGAGTGCTATGAGTCTAGTAGGTGCCTAGTCATCAACGCCCCAGGGTCAACTCCTGCCACTAAACATCCATATGTACTGTACGGAGTATAGTAACGAATCCATGGCAAGGCAAAAGAAGGCCGATCGTACAGTGTTGTGTTGGCACAGAGTATAAATTTTTGATTAGGATCAGCCTTATAATTTACCTAATTAGGCATTACGGACTGAATTACGGCTGTAGCCCTATTTAGTACTACGGACTGACTTAGTAATTGACGCACCTCACTACAGCTGCCAAGACTTACAGACTACGGTGGTACAGACGGGATTATTAAACTACAGACTGCTGTAGAGGCTACTACTCGGAACACTGCTCCTTTTATAGGTTATAGAGGTGTTCCTCTAAGCTTAGGGAAGAGCTTAGTATTGTTAAATTCAGATAGGAAATCAGAGAAGGCAAGGGGGCTAGGGGCTACTAGTAGCATACTTTCTAGGTTAGATGGCTACAGCTACTGCCATCTAAGGCTATTTAGAAAGCTAGATAAAGGAATAGGGGGGCTATAGGGTATATTTAGTAGATTCGAAGGCTTAATAGGAGGCATATTAGCCTAAAATGTTAACTAGAATGTTGAATAGGGGGTATGCATACTATAATTATCATATATAGATTAATGGAATTATCACAGCTAACCCAATTCAATTTAACTAACTACTTATAGATAGTAACCCTAGCTGCTACAGTGTAACAGCTGCTATCCTAATTAGGCAATTATGATGCCAAGCCTACTAGGGTTTATATTTCCTACTACGGCTAGTTTTATAGGGCTGCTACAAAATAGCAGCGTTATAGCAAATCTAAATTGCTCTAATGGCGGCTAAAAGCCAAAGTTTGATCTAATGGAATGGTATGGCATGCAGTTAGCAATCCCGTCCTGTCCCCACTAGACTACGAACGACAATCATTCTTGTCATCGGTCCATATAAAGTATATCTCTTACTTCTTACTGTAGTTAGCAAAACGACGACTCAAGATCTCACATACCGGCAGTTAGTTTTTTCCCTCACCCGTCCTCAACCAACAAACCAACAGGACCAGCACCAGCGTTATAATTATTATCATTGTAACAATTGTAACACGCAATTAATCAACAATCGATCGCACCTTCTTCCCTATTAGCAATCAGCTTCTTGGCCGGCCGCTCCTCCCCTCTCTGCCCCACCACCACCAACGCCGACACCAATCACGGATGTCTGCCCTCCGTGCCTTCCCCCCCCCCACCCTCCTCCTCAAGAACGGCCACTGCCAATTCTACCCCTCCATATTATCCAGAAAGAACAAAATCAAACAACGCTGCAAAATAATCGTCCGTCTCGTCTTTGCGTCCCATCTGCCGCTACAACAGTACTATTCACAGTTACTCTCCTCCCCAATAATCAGTACACCAGCGTCTCAACGAACAAAATGGCCATTGGTGTCGCGATTATAGGCTCTGGCATCTTTGCCACTGAGCAGCACCTCGTGCGTCCCCACTCTACCCCTCACAACCACGGCATCCAAACTTACCCCTCCTCCAGCCCGCCGTAGAATCCACGCCCCTCCTCAAACTCAAAGCCATCTTCTCGCGCTCCCTCGTCGCGGCCACCGCCCTCGCCACCGCCGCCAAGGGCGACGTGGACACCTACGCCGACGACAACAATGGCAAAGACTACGCCGCGCTCCTCGCCCGCTCGGACATCACCGCGGTTATCATCGCACTGCCCATCAATGTGCAGCCTATGTACATCGAGGCCGCGCTCGCGGCTGGGAAACACGTGCTCTCCGAGAAGCCGATTGCGAATGACATTGAAGCGGCCGAGAAGCTGATCCACTTCTATACCGCGCTGAAGGAGAAGGGAAGCAAGGCGTCGTGGGGGGTTGCGGAGAACTTTAGGTTCCTGGCGCCGTTTAAGTTTGCTAGGCGGGAGATTGAGAAGTTGGGAGGAGTGGTGGGGTTCAGGATTAAGGTGTTCCAACATGTGAAGGCTGGGACGAAGTATTTTGGTGTGTTCATCCTCCCCCCATTGCTGAAGATGAGAGCCCAAGAAGAGAAGGCTGGCCATGAAAGCACATACTAACTGACTCTCCTCATAGAAACTGAATGGCGCAAGATCCCTTCCTATCAAGGCGGCTTCCTTCTTGATGGCGGCGTGCACTTCACAGCCGGCACACGCCTCCTCCTCGGCCCCCTCAACCGCCCCGTCTCCCTCTCAGCATACACTGCGCTCATCCAGCCGCACTTGCCGCCCATTGACACTGTTAACTCGATCTGGCAGACTACCAAAGGCGTATCGGGGACTGTGCAAATCAGCTTCGGCACATCGCTGAGTGGAGATGAATACACCATCGCTTGCTACGATGGCAGCGTGAGCGTGAGCAGGGACACGGTTAGTGTTCACAACGGGGAGGAGAAGGACGGCAACGTGACGACGCGGGTACTTCTTTCTAGCGGAAGCGGGGTGAAGGCCGAGGTGCATGCGTGGGCTGAGGGGATAGAGACCGGGAAGGAGAATTCCCTGCAGAGTCCTGCGGAGGCGTTGGCGGATTTGGAGTTGTTGGAGGCTATGATAAAGAGTGGAGAGGGCGAGGGGGTAAAGATTGTGTTGACGAGACAGGATGTCTAAAGCCTGTGTGCCTAAGTGCTATAACCAAGCGAGGGTAGTTTTGACGAGGGAGGGGTAAAGGCCATGTGCCTATATGCTAATATGCTCAATGGAAGTTGCTGAGAGAATCAAGGAGATGGGATATGAGTATATCGCTTACATCGCTACACTGAGGGACTGGGTCGGAATCATGGCGACGCGGTGCATTACGCACAGATACAGCAGTATTCTATAGCTATAGCATTATTCCGTAGCTATGACATGGCATTACTCCTTAGAATCAGTCACTACATATCCGTCAGTGCGAATCATGCAATCCCTTTTTCGCAGCGAATACGCAACATGCCTCACAGTTGGTAGAATCACAGGACAGCCAGACAGGTCTATATCATCCGCCCTCTGACATGCTAATCATCCGCAAAAGTTCAACTTGCAGTAACACATTTACCACGCTCATCACAATAAACCACATAAATCCTAGCCAAACACTCGACAAGCACTATGTGCAAAACAATCCACTCCCTCCACCGGTGCGGGCACCCCGCCTCCCCCATCCCGCTCTTCTACCGTTGCCGCACGCACGAGGAGCTGGACGACGCGGAAGCGCGGAGGGGGGCTGAAGAGGTACAGAGACATCTCCTGTTTGACTGCGCAGCTTGTCGGGAAAGGGAGGGGGAGGGAGGATATGGAAGCATGAGGGGAGATGTATAGGGTGCGGGCGTTGCATCGCTCGCGGGGGATGGAGGCGTGATGGGTGGGAATGGAGTGGACGGAGTGTCAACTGGTTTCTCATAACCAGTGAGTAGTCCCCAAAACAATCTGTAGTTTTGTATCTACAGAAGTTTTGCTAAGCCCAGCGCCCCAAAAAGATAACAAAATGCAAGCCCACGCCGTATTTCCAGCTTATTCTGCGCCGTATATGCTCCGTTGTCCCGCTTTGTAAACACCTTACGCTAGAATCTGTGTGTCGTTAGCAATGGGAGTTGGCATTATGGGGCTAGGTATAGATAGACTCACCGAATTTCATACGACCCCGCCCGTGTCATATACCGCACCCACTTGACGCTCGAGTAATTGCTTTTCTCAAACACCTTCAGGTAGCGCACCAGCAGGCCCGAGCTCGTAAACATGAGTAGGTTAAAGTTCAAGCTCAGCGGCGGACGCGACCAGGCCTTCTGGTTCGTCATGCTGGTCAGGTTCGCCTCGGCGCTCAGCACAAACTCGTTCTGTCCCGTGAAGCGCGGGATCTTCCACACGATGACGTTCTCGCTGGGCTCGTACTTGGCCTTGCCTTGAGTGGAACGTTCAGTGATGCGCGCGGTGTTAAGGGGTGTGGGGATCTTGATGACGACGTTGGTGGCGAACAGCTTGGACCCGTAGTTGGCGCGGATGGCGATGCTGTACTCGACCTTGGTCTTGCCGATCTCGTTGACGATGGCGTGCACCTTGAACGGCAGGTTTACGTTCTCCGTCGCGCGGTAGCGCATTAGCTCGAACTCACCGTCTGGCGGGATGAAGGAGATGATGCGGTCTGTGTCGAACTTGCCCAGCTTCACGCACTGGTGGAACTGGCAATCCTCTAGAGTCACGCTGCCAGCGGCCGCCTTTGTTGCTTTGCTGCCGAGGCGGTTGCCAGAGGGAAGAGATGATAGGCCGTCACCGTCGAGAAGGAGCCGGTCATTTAGCCCGAACTTGCACTCGGGGGTGCCGGAGAGGTAGGCGCGCATGACGATCTGGCCGTTGACGTCGGCGCGGAGGACGGTGCCGGTCGCGGACATGAGGAGATTGACATCTTCGATTACGTCGACAAAGGCCTCGTTCTTGCGGTACTTGACGTCTGCTTTGCGCCAGGAGAGCGCGCCTGTGGCCTGCATTGTGATTTTGGCCGAGTCCTCCATCATCCGCTCCGACTTCACCCCCTCAGTTGTGATGTACATCTTCAGCGTGTCGGTCTCTGTGTTTTGCGGATACCCAAAATCGATAACCTCTGTTGGTGATAGTCAGTGTCACTCCTGATTATGTTAAGTCCGAGGAGCAGCGTACCATCTAAGAGCTCGTATACCAGCACAAAGTTATTCTTGACGGCCTCTTCATCGAACTTCCCAAAATATCCCTTCCCAAGCGCTATAAACCGGTATAAAAACTCAAACACCAGCGCTGCATTGGCATTGCTCTTCGTTATCGCCACCAGGTATATGTTCTCATGCTTGACATGGCTGAATGTGGTGCTTCCCAGCGTCAATATCGGTGACCGCACTTGCGCATTGGATATGACCTGGATTCGAAATACGTCGGCTAGTCGTGGCCGGCAGTCATTGCGGAAGGCGCGGAATATAAGATTCTCGCCTTTCTGATTAAATATCAGTATGCCAGAAAGCATAGTGACGGAGAAGGGCGTTGGTAGATGGCGAGTGCGAAAGGAGTGCTTATACCTGGCGATGTCCATCCAGGTTTGGCGGGGAGCTTCGTCTCGATATCACGGAACCTGCCGCTACCCCAAGAACATTGGATTGTGGGGAAAGCAGAAAAGGGGCGGACGGTACGGACACCAAGCTATATTTTCGATTCTGAGACAACAAGCTACTAATCAAAAAAGTTTGGGCATTTTTAGGCAAGGCATTTATTCTGAAATATATATCAATGGCAAAGAGTATCATACTTCCAACCAACGGACGAAGAGTAATTGATAGGTGTACAGGAGATTTTATTGACCAAATAAAGTCGACCACATCTCGTCAAAGCCCGTATTAATGGCTCTCTAATTCACAAGTCTAATCGTAGCAATACCTTAAACCAAGTCGCGTCTCACAAACTCCGCGTGCAGGGTCTTGCCCAACATCGCCGGGGATCTCTCGACGATGACGCCAGCAGCCTCTAATGCGGCGATCTTGGAGTCTGCGCCGCCTCGTCCGCCGCTAACAATGGCACCTATTTCCCGTTAATACATACTGAAGTGTGGAGGTTTTTGACTACGTACCCGCGTGGCCCATTCTGCGTCCGGGTGGGGCAGAGATACCAGCGATGAAGCTGACGACTGGCTTGTTGGCAGTGTTGTACTCGCGCAAAAAATCCGCAGCCTCCTCCTCAGCAGATCCACCGATCTCACCAATCATGATGATACCATCAGTCTCCTCATCTTCCAAGAACACTCTCAAGCAGTCGATGAAGTTTGTGCCGGAGAATGGGTCGCCACCAATGCCGACAACCAAAGACTGGCCAAGACCAGCCTGGGTGGTCTGGTTAACAGCCTCGTAGGTAAGAGTTCCTGAGCGGGAGACAATTCCAATGCGGCCGCGCTTGTGGATGAATCCAGGCATGATGCCAATCTTGCATTGTCCAGGGGCAATGATACCGGGGCAGTTGGGGCCAACGAGACGGGTCTTAGATTGAGTCTTCAGGATGTCGGTAATGCGGACCATGTCTAAATATATAAGTATAGCACGGTGAAAGTGAGTATGGGTTACTAACCATGCTGGGGAATTCCCTCGGTAATGCTGCATTCACGTCAGTACATACAAAACTAGTATGGATGATTTGGCTTGAACATACCATACTACCAACGGAATCTCGGCGGCAATGGCCTCCTCGATACCAGCAGCGGCGACAGGTGGTCTAGGTTCAGTCAGTTTGATGCCGCTTGTACCCCCAGTGTGCGTCTTACGGGACAAAGATAGCAGATGCGGTTGCGCCAGCCTCCCTCACAGCCTGCTCAACGGTCGCAAAAACGGGTAGTCCAAGATGCGTTTGGCCAGCCTTCTTGGGGTTTGTTCCTCCGATAACGTTCGTGCCTGTGAAACGGGGTCAGATATTTTGACCTTGTTTTTGTATCGGGTCAATTCGGGAACATACCGTACTCAATTGCTTGCTGGGCATGGAACCTGAAGGGGAACATTAGCATGTGCCCATCCAACGAATACTCAATGGGTGAGATGGACTTACGTTCCCTGCTTGCCAGTGAAGCCCTGATACAAAACACGGGTGTCCTTGTTGATCTTGAGGTTGTTTATGGTCGAGGCGTAAGGCGACGTGGTGTAAGCTTGCCTCCGAGTCGCCGCACGGAGCGCCGGCTTTGAACAACGTGTAAGGGCCTGCATCTTGTCGACGACAGTTGGGGATGGATAGATTGAGGAATGTGAGGTATAATTTTATACTGCTCAACGAGGGTTCTAGGAGCTTTCCCGTAAGAGACATCACAACGTGGTTTAGCGTTATTTCGGAACAACTTATAGCCGCTCGTTCCAGCTCAAATTCCGGAAGTAACCATTTGTGGTATATAGCGATTTGAGCCTCAAAAATTTCTGGCCAACCCCACCACATCAACATAACGAATACACCTAGAATAGGTTTAACTATTCAGAGTTATATTATATCGTTATAGGGAACACTTAAAACTTGAGCCAGCGAGTTTTATACAACAAACTCCCCCGTACGGACGCACTTCGAAAAGTTTCGAGACCAAATATTTAGTTGAGAAGCCCTTATCACTGTCGCCACCATGGCGACCGAAACTGCGACAATGCTCATGCCAGAGAAGCGCCGCCTCCCAAAAGACCCAAACCTTCCACCAGAGAATGAACGGTATCTCAGAGCCTGTTCCGATGTGGCGAGCGCGCTCATTCAAGAGCACGAAGCACAGCAGGACCCCTCCAAGCCGAAAAAGGATATCAATTTGAACAGCTTACGAGCAAGAATGTCCAAGAAACACAGATTAAGCAATATCCCGCCCCTTACAGCAATTATTGCCGCTATTCCAGAGCATTATAAGAAATATATCCTGCCGAAGCTGATTGCAAAGCCAATCAGAACTTCTTCTGGAATCGCAGTTGTGGCTGTGATGTGCAAACCCCACAGGTGCCCTCATATTGCATATACAGGAAATATTTGTGTTTACTGTCCTGGTGGCCCAGATTCTGATTTCGAATACTCAACACAATCATACACTGGTTACGAGCCGACGTCTATGCGGGCCATCCGAGCCCGATACGATCCATATGAACAAGCAAGAGGACGGGTGGACCAGATCAAGTCCCTGGGCCACAGCGTGGATAAGGTGGAGTATATCATTATGGGAGGGACATTTATGTCTTTGGCGGAAAGTTATCGAGAAAGCTTCATCTCACAATTACACAATGCTCTGAGTGGATATCAAGGCACAAACGTGGACGAAGCTGTGCAAGCCGGCGAGATGAGCAATATTAAGTGTGTCGGTATTACAATCGAAACACGGCCGGATTACTGTTTGCAACCCCACCTTACCGACATGCTGAGATATGGCTGCACGAGATTAGAGATTGGGGTGCAATCGCTATACGAAGATGTTGCAAGAGATACCAATAGAGGACACACCGTCGCCTCAGTAGCGGAGACTTTCTGCTTAGCAAAGGATGCCGGCTTCAAGGTCGTCAGTCATATGATGCCTGACCTTCCAAACGTCGGGATGGAGAGGGACTTGGACCAGTTCCGCGAATACTTTGAGAGCCCTGCTTTCCGAACAGATGGCCTGAAAATCTATCCTACTCTCGTTATCCGAGGGACTGGTTTATACGAGCTATGGAGGACTGGGCGGTACAAGAACTACACACCGAATGCGCTCATCGATATAGTGGCTCGTATTTTGGCGTTAATTCCTCCATGGACGCGAATCTACCGTGTTCAGAGAGATATTCCGATGCCATTGGTGACTTCAGGGGTTGAGAATGGCAACCTACGAGAATTGGCGTTGAGCAGAATGAAAGACTTCGGAACCACCTGCCGCGATGTTCGCACGCGCGAAGTTGGAATCAACGAAGTGAAGAATAAGATTCGTCCTTCGCAGGTCGAGTTAGTCCGTCGCGACTACGCGGCAAATGGTGGCTGGGAGACTTTCTTGGCCTATGAAGACCCGAAGCAAGACATTCTGATCGCCTTGCTTCGTCTTCGCAAGTGCTCCCCAACTCACACTTTCAGGCCCGAATTGACCGGCCAACAAACTAGTATGGTCCGCGAGCTCCATGTTTACGGCTCTGCAGTTCCGGTTCATGCCAGAGACCCAAGAAAGTTCCAGCATCAGGGTTATGGTACATTGCTGATGGAAGAGGCGGAGCGCATCGCCAGAGACGAGCATGGTAGCACAAAGATCAGCGTCATTTCAGGCGTTGGGGTTAGATCTTACTACGCAAAACTTGGATATCATTTGGATGGTGTATATATGTCGAAGGATATCAAGAGTCTGGAATGCGATGACAGCGATGACGAGTTCTAAATGTTACATGCTCTGAGGATCTGGGCTTGGAGTTTATAGTGTATGGGAAATATTCGATGGCGATCGAAGGATTGGAGGGGTGAGGAGTTTGGATATTATCTGCATGGGCCTTACGGGACTTGGGACCAATGGTACGATGAAATCATAGGCTTAAAATATCACTTGGTACAAACTTCACTTTGACAACAACTTTCTTGGTCTTCACCCAAAGATTTGTACTATTTCGGTGGCTAAATCAAATATTTATCCGCATGCACGCGCTTCGAGGGGTTGTTGCCGCATGTGCAGCGTGTACGTCGGTTGTGGTCTTGCGTGTGTTAGTTTAAGACATGGAATGGAATAGAGTGTAAAGGGGCACACGTACTTCAAACTATGCGGCTTCGGCGAACGAGACCTCGGCGAACGAGACCGCCGCGTCATGGGCCCGCCTCCTATCCTTGAACTGCGCATCACCCCGCCCCCGTGCCCGCCGCCATGTCGGCCTCTGACGAAATGGCCCTGCGCCTACGTTACCCATACTACGTGGTACATTGCTCGCTATGGGACGCGTCACGCGACATCGACAGCGTGGCCATGGAAGGCGACGGCAGCGTAGGCGGCGGGGAGCGTCGCAACCAGCAGCGTCGGCTAATGGGGACGCTGGTCGCTAGCCCATTTGTGGGCAAAGACGAACGCGGGGTCGAGGGGTGTTTTTTCTGCTTCCCGGACCTGATGAGATGCAGGGCCAAAGACGACGGTAGCCTTTCAACCTAACGAGCGGTCCTTGCATGATGGGATGTTTGAACGAGACGGCAGCACTAGAGACATTACACAACTGGGTTGAGTTGAGCGCTAGTGCGTCCCTACGTATGTTCCAACCTTCCGCTTGGAGGTTGAGTTTGGGCTAATAGAAGGTAGATGGGAGGGGATATGGACTAGGGGTCCATTCCTCCCTCCCGGCGACTGCCAGCTAACGGTGTTCAGTCATACCTCGCGGTGGCCTTCCAAACTGCTTTCACGAACAAGGCGCCATCGGACGAGGTCGCGTTCCACTCTGTGCATAGTTTTGACTATATCCGCCAGGCGATACTGTGTAATGCGGACACGGGTCTGGAAGGGGATACGGGGCATCCGGAATGGGGCCGGGTACACCAGTGTACAGATATTGATAAGTTGAGGGAGTGGGCGAACCAGAGAGATATATATAAATATCGTAGCACTATGCCGTCAGATACGGTGTTGTGAAGTAGGCAGAGTTTCTCACGGGGAGAAACGTGCATGGGGCATGATCTGGGTGAGTTTTGTGGGTGGGGCATCTCGTCCTGGTCCTGTGTCAACTATGGGATGATAAATATATTAGTTCGCTGGTTTCTAGTCCGTTGTTACAACCCAAGTTCACTGTTTGTTGTAAAAACCAAAGAATTCAAGAAGTAGTAGCATTTTTTCCAATTACTACAATATAGCCAATTCTAAAATAGAGGCAGGAATAATGAGAACTGCTCGTCTCTTCTCACCGGCGATTGGCGGGTTGATAGCGTACCACTTGTAAAGCCGCTGACGCAGTTGAGTGGAGTCGAGAGAAATCAGACGTTAAGTTCGGCCGTGGTCGCTTTCTCGATGAATGCCTTGTATGGCTTGATCTTCTTGTCCAAAACGCCTCCCTCTGCACAGAAGCGCTCGACAATTTCAACGCTGCGGCCGGTATACAGCTCCGCCTTGAGCATGTCGTCGAGTCCCACCCAGATTGGCTTGAAGAACTCTGTGGCCTTAATCCTGGCTACCAAGTCATTTGGCTTGCCGTCATTCTTTACGGAGCGGCCAGCTTGGTGTGACAGAACACGGATCTGTTCATGAGCCTCCTGCCTCGACTCTCCTAGCGCAACCAGCTTCATAATGATGCTCTCGGTGATCATGAATGGGAGCTCCTCCTGAACACGGGCGTTGACACGGTTGGGGTACACGACCAATCCATTGGATACGTTGTCAAGGCCAATAAGGATTGCATCTGCAAGAAGGAAGGTCTCCGGAATATCCATGCGGCGGATGGCGGAATCATCCAATGAGCGTTCCATCCACTGATCCGAGTGAGTAGCGGCAAAGCTTGCCGGCTTTGACATCAGCTCGCGAGCGAGACTGTAGATTCTTTCAGATCGCATTGGGTTGCGCTTGTAAGACATGGCAGACGATCCAACTACAAATGTCAGCTCTGATCTTTATCATTGTTCTTGGAAGTTTCTTACTCTGGTCCTTTTCAAATGGCTCCTCAATCTCCTTGAATGTTGCCAGATGGCGAATATCACCAGCGATCTTCTGGGCAGTGGACCCGAGACCTGCAATGGCATTGGCAACGATCAGGTCAACCTTGCGCGTGTATGTCTGAGTTGAGACATCATAGCACTCTGAGAAGCCGGTCTTCTTGCAGAGCAGCTCGTTAAGCTTGTCGCACTTGGCGGTGTCGTCACCAAAGATTTCCATGAAGGATGCCTGAGTGCCAGTAGTTCCCTGAGCACCTGGTAAAGACCATTGTTAGATATTGTTCGAGAAGATTCATGTTTTTAACCTCCCTTAGGAATATACGTAACCCTGGAAGGTGAACTTGATAGACGTACCTCTGAACTTGAGTTCATTTCGAACATGCTCGATATTGTCCAGATCAAACATGAGGTCCTGTGCCCATTGTGCAGCACGCTTTCCAACAGTGATCAACTGGGCTATTGAGAATAGCTGTCAGCAAATATCCCAAAGAAAAACATAAGGGGTTCCACTACGTATACGAACCAGGCTGGAGATGAGTATATGCCAGAGTTGGCTCTGCCTTCCACTGCATGGCGAACTGCGCCAAGTTCCAGATAACCTTTGCTAGTTTCGGGAGAAGAAGGTCAATACCGTCTCTCATGAGCATCAGCTCCGTGTTGTCAGTGACGTAGCAGCTTGTTGCCTGATGTAAATGAGAGTCAGCAAAACTATCTGTTTGGATTGAAACGTAATGTCCCACCATGACAAAAGGTACAGATGCTGGGTCTCAAATACTTACTCCGTAGTGAATGATGCCAGCTGCTGCTGGTGCAACAGCCCCAAAGGCATGGACATGGGCCATGACATCGTGGCGGCGCTTCTTCTCCTCCACCCGAGCAACCTCAAAATCAGCGTCAGTCAATTCGAGGTGAGCCCTCATCTGCTCTAGGGCCTCCGGCGTAATGGTCTCGATGCCGATCTCATGCTCGCTCTCGGCAAGGTACAGCCAAAGCTTGCGCCAGGTCGAGTGACGGGAACGTTGGCTGAAGAGTTTGGACATCTCCGGGCTACAGTAGCGCCCAGTCAACGAGGTCTGGTAGGCGTCATAGTTGAACGACGTAGGCGTGGCCTTCAGCTGGTCGAGTTTTTGCTGCATCTCAGCAATCTGGGCCTTGAGGCCTGCTTCGTTGTCAGCCATTCTATGTTGATTTCGAGGTGGTTGTTGTTGTGGAGGAATGGAGGGGTTTGGTGGGGGGAAGCTTGGACTTTTGGTAGTGGTTATGTGTGCGATAAGTGAATTCCAAAAACGTCGATAAGAGAAATTCGTACTCCATCCGCTCCAAGAGTAAGCGGGCCCCTTGCATAAATCACATGATCTGCGTGTAGGCTGAAATTCAGCCTTGTTCGTCCGATAAGGGATTAGTGGCTGCCTTGAGTCGCGCCCCACCAGAAAACAAAATATCTGAGAAGCGGGCGAGGCCTTCTCTCTTCCCTTCTCTTCTTCCCCCCTCAGCCAGGAGCTGGGAAAGGGCAGTGCTACGAAATTATTAACTGCCAGAACGATGAAGTATGTTTTGGTATCTGGAGGTACGTGACAATCCTTTTTTATTCACTGTTGTGGCTTTAAATGGGTCGGTGGAATCACGAGAGGACCATGGGGGAGGGGCCATTGCACGACCTGAAGACTTTAAGGAGGAGAACTTTGCTGACGTAGTGCTTATAGGAGTCATCTCCGGGATTGGAAAGGGCGTCATTGGTGAGTTCTATTGCGCGTTCGGCTGTGGCGTGAGGGAATGGCAGGCTGATTGCGCTTGGTGTAGCCTCTTCCACCGGCTTGTTGCTCAAGACTATTGGGCTTAAGGTTACGAGCATAAAGATCGATCCTTACATGAACGTCGATGCCGGAACCATGGCGCCTACGGAGTAAGTTCAACCCATGTTTGACCGGAAGACAAGAGTCGAGCTGACCATTCTCCCTAGGCACGGTGAAGTCTTCGTTTTGGACGATGGCGGTGAGGTCGATCTCGATCTAGGAAACTACGAGCGCTACCTCAACATCACGCTGACGCGCGAGAACAACATCACGACGGGCAAGATCTACCAGCATGTCATTGAGCGCGAGCGTCGCGGTGACTACCTTGGACGTACCGTCCAGGTCATCCCCCATCTGACGGACGCGATCCAGGACTGGATTGAGCGCGTCGCACGCGTCCCTGTCGACGACACGAACGAGGCACCGGATGTCTGCATCATTGAATTGGGCGGGACCGTGGGAGATATTGAGAGCGCGCCCTTCATTGAGGCGATGCGCCAGCTGAGACGCAGGGCAGGAAAAGACAACTTTCTCCAGATCCACGTCTCACTTGTGCCAGTCATCCAGGGAGAGCAGAAGACGAAGCCAACTCAGGCAGCGATCAAGGATGCGAGAAGTGCTGGGTTGAGCCCGGACTTGGTAAGTCTGTGTTTCTAATGAGAGAGGTGCACGCTTAACGGTGTCAGATTGCGTGCCGTTGTGACGTCCCGCTCGAGAAGGCGACGACAAACAAAATCGCCATGTTCTGCCAGGTTGAGCCTGAGCAAGTCATCGCAGTGCACAACGTGGCTTCCACGTACCACGTCCCCCTCCTTCTCGAGAAGCAGGGCCTCATCACGACCGTTCGCGACATCCTCAAACTCGATGCCGTGTCAAAGTCTGAGCAACTCACCGGACGCGGTCAGCGCACCTGGGCGGAGTGGAAGACGCTCACGACGTCGCAGGACCGCCTCTTCGAGACCGTCACCATCGCCCTCGTCGGCAAGTACACCAACTTGCACGATTCGTACCTTTCCGTCATCAAGTCGCTTGAGCACTCGGCGATGCGCTGCCACAGGAAACTCCAACTCCAGTGGGTTGACGCTTCTGACCTGGAGGACGATGCCAAGACCGCACGCCCAGCAGGCTTCCATGCTGCCTGGCACCAGGTCTGCACTGCGGATGGTATTCTCGTTCCGGGAGGTTTCGGCCTCCGCGGCACTGAGGGCATGATCAAAGCGGCCCAGTGGGCTCGCACGCAGAAAGTCCCCTACCTCGGCATCTGCCTCGGTATGCAGCTTGCCGTCATCGAGTTTGCGCGCCATGTGTGCGGTCTCGAAGGCGCCTCATCGACAGAGCTCTCCGAGCAATGCGCCGAACCCATCGTCCTCTTCATGCCCGAGGTTGACCGCTCCGCCATGGGCGGCACCATGCGTCTCGGTATCCGCCCAACCATTTTCCAGCCTGGGTCGGAGTGGTCGCGCCTGCGCAAACTGTATGGCGACCGCACGGAGATCCGCGAGCGCCATCGCCACAGATACGAGGTCAACCCCGATTATGTGGAGCGCCTTGCGGCTGGCGGCCTGACATTCGTCGGAAAGGACGACAAGGGAGAGCGCATGGAGGTTGTGGAGATCAAGGATCACCCTTGGTTTGTCGGCGTGCAGTACCACCCTGAATATCTGTCGCGTGTTCTCAGCCCTAGCAGGCCATATCTCGGCTTCGTTGCTGCGGCGTCGGGATGCCTGGACAAAATTACGAGGGAGATTGCGGATCTGGATGCTCAGGCACAGGCACTGGGACTGGGAGAGCGCTCGGAGGGCGTAGCTATGTAGAGGGCGTGGTTGCAGGAGTACGTAGGGAGGCGCGGGCTTGGGTAGGGGTTTATAACGGGTACCTGGACTGCAAGGGGTTACTTGAATTTCAAATATTGCAAGAACTCATCCGGCTCCTAATGGCGAATTTATGATTTCGTATTTGGAGGGGTTAAGATGAATCATGGGCGTCTGTCTCAGTACCTTCAAGGGTGTTTGCCTTGTCTGTGCGGCTGCGGCGGATGATAGATACTATTATATATGAGGCCAACGACTGGTTTGGGAATAGGACTGGGAATGAATTTTTGGGCTCGAGTATAAAAATGAAAACATGATTGATAGCTATATAGACTATGAAAATACAGTAACTATGCATCCTCATCTTCCTCTAAATCCTCACCTGCTGATACCACGCCCTAATTCCTAAGATATATAAGATATCGTAGTGTAGATGGTGCTAATCTGTTCCGTTTCTTTATAATAATATCGCCACCAACACTAAACACTCGCTCAGATTCCGCTGATGTAGCAGGAATTGCTAAATGATCTTTGGCAATTGCGGCAAGTATTGGATATTGGTATTGCTTACTTGCCCAAAACTTGAGTATATCAATTTTAGGCCCAAGAGTTGGCTCGTTCATCTAGCGCTTCCATTCTAGATCTAAATCTAGCTGCCGTTGTAAGACATATAGCTCATCCTTAGAATCAGAATTCTCACCTTCTAATTCCTCATCTTGGATACTTTCTATAACCTTTGCTACTTGGATGTCTAATGCCTTGCCTGAATATTTATAATAACAGTCTTGCCATTGTGCTTTTGCCCGCCTTTTTCGCGTGTCTTGGATGCTTTTTAGCCAAATAATATCCAATACGTTAAAGTTATAACATGGGTCGCATATTGTAGCTATACTTGAATGACTCCGCTGTTGATTTGTTACAAGTGTATAATACTCATTAAGCTTTTTTAATGCTGCTAAACAAGCGTCCTATATTGTGCTATTCTCTATATATCTAGCTCTAAATACTTCAAGCTTTTGCGTCATTCTAATATACTATATAACAGCATAATTTAAAGTAGGATAAGAAGAGCCTTGTAGCTTCTCTGTTAGGCGTATAAAGATATAGAAAAGATCTAATAACGCCTTCATCGTTTGCCAATCTTTTGCTGTTAAAGCTATATCTTTCATACTTAAATCAAGCTGTTGAGATGCACAGAGATCTGTTATTAGACCTTGTAATCTTAATGCTAAATGAAGCATATAATATGTTGAGCTCCATCGTACTGGCATATCGAGGCTAAGCTACTTTTGCAGCTTCACATTGCTTTTTTAAGGCATCCTTCCATGTCGTCGGTTGAGAAACACATATATATGACGCCGAAGTTTGCTAAGAATAGCTACTGACTCATTTTCTGGTAGTGATGGAACTCGGGCAGCTCTATACTCAAGGCGGTATGCGTTTGGCTCATCTGCTAGTACTGCCTTTAATGATGTTAAAGCAGCTTGAACAGCAGGGTTTATAATGTGCCCAATACATCTAACATCGCCTTCTTTTGTTGTATATGCCCATGGTTGCTATAATGCAGTTTCGTTCTTGCATGCTAAGTTCTCATATTCTAAGAGCATGGTAGTGTTTGCAGAGGCGTTATCATGAGTGATAGTAAAAACTGCAGGAGTAATACCATAGTCGTCTGTAACAGCTATTAACTGTCCTGCAAGATATTCACCAGAATGGATTGGCTCTTGTAGCTCAATAACATCTAAAACTGTACATCGTAACTGCCACTTATCAGAGATCCAATGTGCTGTTACTACAGCGTATTCAGAATAGTTGCGTGCAGACCAACCCCAGCTGTTACGGAAACCCTAGGGACGCCTCCAGCTACAGATGCTTGCGAGGTTGCCAGAGTGCCTGACCAAAGAATCGCCAGCGACTACATGCAGCAGCTATCTTATGTAAATTTATGCCTCGACAAATTACTCGGGCGTATCGACGCGGCTTCGCCTCCTGCGACTCTCAACAACCTCGTCTTTCCTCATCCTGATGATTATCCCAAAAAACAATTACAATTGGTGACACCCTATTATTATCAACCAAGTTCCTCAACATCCTCAACTTCTTACAACCCCAGCGCCCTCTCGCTTCCTTCGCCCCAGGCGGATCGTTCACACCCACCGACTCGGAATCCAATAGCCAGGGCACCCCAGGCCAGGCGGATACCTCCACAGGTTCAGCTAGCGATGTTGCAAGCAACAGCTCAATATCATGTAATAATTCCACAGTCCCTGCTAGCTCTCCTAATCCAACTTTCTCGGATAGTCACCCTCTGGGCTCGTCCTCAGCAACATTTGCAAGACGCCCTTCTTCCCCTATCACCAGCGTTTATCTCGGCACTCCCGGCATTCTACTTATCTTATCATGTTATCAGCAGTTCATCCGAACGTTATGGCTCACGACGCTTTTGCGGTGCATACAGACTATGCTCCTAATTCAGATCACACTACACCTGGTTGGCCACATGGAGAAAGTCCTTGGGCTGCCTCGAGAGTTCAGGGTCCAGGAGGTTGGGGGAGAATATGCTGGCATTCTGAGTAGTGAGGCTGGCCTCCGACTTCCCCGTATGGTTGTCGGAGGTGTTGGTGTCGGAGAGGAGATTCGAGGTGCTGAGGGGGGATCTTCAGGGAGGGGTGGCTGGAAGGAGCTTAAATTGCTAAGGAGCAGTATTCGACAAATTACGCATACAGAATAGTATGGCGTGGTGAGTTTGGGTTAACAATGATCAACGAACCCATATAACATATAGATTCATTTGTAACTACCATAAATATATGAATGTTATTGGTGCATACCCCTTTATCCGCCAAGGACCAAGCCCTTTTTCAAAGGTTATTGAGCTATCTTGTCAGACGTGGTATCTGCAGGTTGTCATAGGGAATCTTTATCATATTCTAAAAATAAGTTATGAGGATAAATGTAATTAGATTAATGAAGTAATTTAGCGATAAGATAACCAAACTTAATATAACTGTCTTCTAGTTATAATCTTCTAGTTATACTCGAAAATACCACCGGAATACTTCTGAAGAGATTTACTTCACTGTAATCGAAGATTTCTCATAGGCTCGAGCATCATTGACGTTCCGTGGCAAGCATGCCAAGACGTGACCCGGCTGGTATCACGTGCGACACGTCATTGTGCCCGCCACCAGTCCCAAGCCACTCGTCAAAACGAAATATTTACGATAAGGCCGCCAACAAAGGGGAAGCCTTCTTCAGATGTGACGTTTCAAGTTGGGTTTCTTTCGAGATTTCCCTGATTGGATTTTTTTTTGGTAGAATAATAGGCATTAAAACTCAATATAATTAATAATTATAAGCTCTGAATTAACATCCTGAAAAATAGTGAAACGCTCATTCCACATTGTGCTTGAGAAATCTGACTTTTGACCGCTTATTAGCGCCAATCAAGTATCGACATAGCCCCCCCCACCAAGAATTTCTCTCCACCCCGCCATCGAAGCAGCCTCCTCAGTCTGGGACAACAACAACTCCACGCTCCCTCAAACCACGAAAAGGACCTTTTCGTATATTCACCAGAAAAGCTCCCTTCAAACATGGTTTCTGCATCGAAGGCTGCGCGTGAGGCCAAGAGAGCCGCCGACGGAAAGGCGCCCAAGAAGACAGCTGCCTCCCGCGCCAAGGGAAAGGATTCCGAAAATGCATCGGGAGCCTCCTCAGTAGCTGGAGATGAGACGCCGCCTACTAGCTCCAAGAGACAAGATGAGATCAAGAGACTCGCTGACCAGATGGACAAGCATGGCCTGTCGGATCGTGTCACAACTGGTGTCCTGTCGTCGCTGAAGGCGTCGAGGGATGTCAAGATTACGTCCGTCTCGCTTGTTTTCCACGGCCGTGTCTTGATCCAGGATGCCACTCTGGAGCTGACATATGGCCGTCGTTACGGTTTGTTGGGAGAGAACGGCTGCGGAAAGTCGACCTTCTTGAAGGCTCTCGACAAGCGCGAGTTCCCTATTCCAGGTGAGAACCCCAGATTTCCGTATGTTCGTCGAATGACATGGACACAAAAGACTAACTTGACCTAGAATTTATCGATATCTACCTGCTCAACGAAGGTGCTCCCCCAAGCGACTTGGGTGCACTCGAGTGGGTCGTGACCGAGGCCGAAAATGAGATGGAAAGACTTGACAAAGAGGCCGAAGAGATTTTGGAGACCGATGGCCCTGAGAGCCCGCTGCTGATGGATCTGTACGAGGTATGCAACAGTCCCCTTATCAACGATCTCTATCCATAAACTCATCCCTCCCCGCTGCGCCAATATGATCAGCCTGATCTGATTCTACGAACACAACATCTAAAATATATTGAGCTGTGGCTAATTAGGCTATAGCGTATGGAGTCGATGGACCCGAGCACATTCGAGGTCAGAGCAAGCATCATCCTTACTGGTCTTGGTTTCAACAAGGTAACTATTAAGAAGAAGACCAAGGATATGTCTGGTGGATGGAGAATGAGAGTTGCGCTGGCCAAGGCTCTGTTCGTGAAGCCGTCGCTGCTGCTTCTCGATGACCCGACAGCCCATTTGGATCTGGAAGCCTGTGTGTGGCTTGAGGATTATTTGGCCAAGTGGGATAGGTGAGAATCTACAGTGCCGAGCCCGACAGGAAGACGACTGACCAGAGACAGAACCCTCGTATTGGTTTCCCATTCCATGGATTTCCTGAACGGGTACGTATACTTGATTACTATCACATACCGAGGGAGAAGTACTGACAGTGATGATACAGTGTCTGCACAAACATGATTGATATGCGCGATAGGGCCCTCTTGTACTACGGAGGTAACTACGATTCTTACCACAAGACGAGGGCAGAGCAGGAAGTCAACCAGATGAAGGCGTACCACAAGCAACAGGTAAGCAAGCGGTGCCACTCTGACAATTACCCATTGCTGACTCTGTTTTAGGATGAAATCAAGCACATCAAGGCATTCATTGCCAGTGCAGGAACATACGCCAATCTTGTGCGACAGGCTAAGTCGAGACAAAAGATTTTGGACAAGATGGAGGCCGATGGCTTTATCCAGCCCGTCCACGAGGACCGTGTCTTCACATTCCGCTTCGCTGATGTGGAGAAGCTTCCACCGCCAGTGTTGTCTTTCGACGACGTTACCTTCTCATACTCCGGAAATGCCAAGGACAACCTTTACGAGCACCTGGATCTCGGTACCGATATGGACTCCCGAACCGCCCTTGTCGGACCCAACGGTGTTGGCAAGTCGACTCTCCTCAAGCTGATGACGGGTGCTCTTTCGCCAACTGGCGGACAAGTCTCCAGACACACTCACTTGAAGATGGGTGTCTACTCCCAGCACTCTTCGGAGCAGCTTGACCTGACCAAGTCCGCCCTGGACTTCGTCCGTGACAAGTATTCCGAGAAGAGCCAGGATTACCAGTACTGGAGACAGCAGCTTGGCAAGTACGGTCT